TTGCAATATTTGGAATAATCTATGGATAAATGAATTTTATAACAGTGTGTGAAACTTTTCTTTATTCGCTTACGAAAGCCTCGAGATATAGCAAAATATGCAAAACTGTGGAGCACTCTTCTGACAAAACTATGGGGACAATATTTCACCGATTGCAGCTATCCCTATATTTTGGGAGGTTAGAAATCTCCGAATGATTTGAAAAAAAGTTATGTTTATTCTGAGAAAGTACGTTTTTGTGTCTGATTTCTTAACTTAAAATATCGTCTGCACTAATTAATTAACATGCATGAGGTCACCCCTTTGAACCCATAAGAATGATTCCCAAAACTGGAAGATTCGATCATTAGATCAAAAGTTATTTAGTGTGGTCCTTTTTTTAAAATTTTTTTGGAGCACTGTACAAACCGAAATTACACAAATTTTCCAAGGAGATGCAAGGAGTTCCCACACTAGTTCATCAGAATCATTTTCTAAGTGTTTGGATACCATACAATTTTATCAATAAATAGTATTGTTATTAAGTGTAATATCAAGTTTCATTCACCATACCTACATAATTTGTTAATTTTAGGGAGATTTGTTAAAAATTTGAAAGAGGCTTGTTAAGATGGTTTTGCCATAAAGAGAGTATGAACGAAAGAAAATACTAGCAACGAATATACAAGATAAGTGTGAATAATAGAGCAAGAGGAGAATCGACTTTGCGAACGTGCTTTGATCAATTGAGAACAATCTTAGTAAAAACCAGCGTTGGAGTACCCTAATTAAGTGAATAACATACACCTACCTACTTATAATTTAAATTTAAAAAAAATGTGTCTCTCAAAAAAGATTTCAATCGTAGAACTGTTGGTAATTGGCTCTGTTGATTAAAGAGTTTACCGAACGCTGGGTTAGAATAACATTTTTGTAGAGTGAGAAAAAAAAATATTGGTATTATGCGCTTCACTCGTTACAGCACGGTGCTTCCTTTAGAAGAAAGTGCTTTTCAAAAATATTAAAATTAGGTTCACAATAATTTATTATATAGCTTCATCTGTTGATTAAAGAGTTTACCGAACGCTGGGATAGAATAACATTTTTGTAGAGTGAGAAAAAAAATATTTTCAAAAATATTAAAATTAGGTTCACAATAATTTATTATATAGCTTTATCTGTTGATTAAAGAGTTTACCGAACGCTGGGATAGAATAACATTTTTGTAGAGTGAGAAAAAAAAATATTGGTATTATGCGCTTCACTCGTTTCAGCACGGTGTTTCCTTTAGAAGAAAGTGCTTTTCAAAAATATTAAAATTAGGTTCACAATAATTTATTATATAGCTTTTCGTTTAAAAAACCAAATCATATCAGCTCACTGTGATACATTAATAGCATAAGCCTTCTAATTTGTATCGTTAATCATGAAATTGTGAATTTTTTTTTTAGAATTTGTGACAAAAAAAGATAAATACCCGATTATTGTGAACATTTATGCACAATCACTCCTTTAAAAATTGTACTCAAGAATTCCAATTGCTACTTCTTCAAGAATTGCAATTGTTACATGACGTAATAAAAAGCCGTCAAGTCTGGAACTAGTCACCTGGGTAGCAAAGCGGCCCCTATTCCACTCGTCATGAGTTTGTTTTAAAGTTTGCTTTAACACTGTGTGGTCAGCTGTACGTGTGGTTGCTGGAGAAATAACGTTAAGTTCTTCTTTAATTTACTGAGCTGGGCACGCGGCCCCTATCCCATCCATCATGATTATTTAAGTAGTTGTAGTGGAACTTTATGTGGTCAGCAGACTGTGTGGTGGCTGTTGTTAGAGTTTAAACGCCGTAAGTAAATAAAACTAATGAAAATTATAAGGTGCAGCTTGCTCTAAACTATGTGTAGTTGAATTTCGTTTGATGGTCAACGTGTGGAAACGCTTGATCAGATTTTCAGTATTGCTATTGAATTTGATGCTTTGAATGCATTTGTAAATAATTATTCATGTTGATAGTTGTAATATGAGGCGTCGGATGTGTAGTGAACAGCTACTGGTCTTAATTTTACATCTTTTTTGTAGTTTTCATAGTTGAATATCGGATTGAAGTTAACTGCGTTGCATTTTGTGGCCTTGTCATAGAAATCTGCATTTTATTTGTATATATATTCTGATAGGGTAGGAATCTTGAGATCATTATGGATATTTGAATTTCTGATGAACCATCTGGCACGGGTGTTGTTTCTGAGTATTTTGTTCTGACATTGGTTGAGTTTTTTCAAGATTTGTTCCTATATGGTTGTCCAGGCCGTGAGACACACGTAAGAATTCGTCTGATCATTGATGTATATAGTAGTTTTCTTAGCTTTAATGAGACATTCTGATTATAGAAAAGTGGTTCATATATAATCAGGTAATATAACGATGAAGCCACAATGCACACTAAGCAGAATGTCCTCGAATGATAAAGTCATTCATGGCTGAGATATTATGGTCTAGAATTATTTTTTTCTTAAAATAAATTCTAAAACTGATCTTCTGTTTGATTTTATTTCAACAACTAAAGAAATTCTATTACAGAATAATTTTGATAGGATAGCACTACAGAATAATTTAAAAAAATACGTAAAGTTTTCGTTTTAAAAGTATATTTTTTCTACTATTTTAATTAGAGTTTTTAAGCAACTTGAGCTTACATTTACGAGGCAGATCTTACGAATTATGTGCATAATATAAATTAAGTACATTTGATAATTCAAACGAAACGAGTAATAAACTATTATCACAACCATTTACAGACAAAAGCTATTACAACATATTTGATAGAACTCGTAAAAATGTTGATAAACTTTTACTCCATTCATTTTAACTTCCATTTTAGCTTTTCAGTTTCTTTGATAGCAAGTCAAGCAAAATATTTCTGAAAATATATTTTTTTTGATACATCCATATATAAATGTCATCCTTTTTTTATTCCTCCTTTCTCCTTGTTATAGAGGTGCAACTGGGCTTAAGGCTATGTCTTCTGTTGAAAGAAAAGAAAGATAAAAAGAAAAGAAACTTTTGAAGAAACCTTTTCTTTCAGACCCGCATAGCCCGGAGCAAGTTGCTGCATTTTAGGAAGAGAAGGGAGTAAACATTCTGTGTATATATTTTCCAGACGTCGTCTTCTCTTTGTTACATTGTCTGGAATTTATTACTGCTGCATACATTCATATTTGCTTATGGTTACAGTTTATTCTTTATAATAGATCTGAAATTGCTTTGAATTTTCAANTATATATATATATATATATTTCTGTTTGCGATTAGAGTCCCAAGAAAAACATATAAATTGGACCCGGTGTCCCATCTTCGTCAAAGGGTTAAGTTCCGTTTTTAAATAATTAGGATTGGAAACAAAAACTCCACTTATTTTTAAAAATGAAGGAAAGAATATTTTTTGTTTAGAGACTTTGAAATCTAAACCGCCATAATTTTGAAACATTCCTTTTTGAAATATTGTTGTTAATTATTATTAAAACCTGATAATACATTGAAAGTATTCTTGATTATGTTTTAAGCTATCAATAAATATTTAAATTGAAGAAAATACATACGGGTGCAGAAAATAATTTGGGAATAATTTCGTAATTCTCAAATTAAAGATAAATTTAAGTATTTTTCAGTAGTCTTTAAAAATCTTAGATTCCTCTCATTTATTTTTTCCAATTTATGGAAACCCTGTACAAATTGTGTTTCCTGGATTGTAATCAAGTCATAAAATATTCCAGGTAAGCACTATAATTCGCCAACAAAAACATGACAATTTCAATCAGACATTAATTAGATGAAAAGTATTAAAACTTAAGTGGTTGCTACATCGAGGAAATTTCCATTTGCTCTGATGATAAGCTTACTACTACTTGAATACTGTTGACAGCCATTGGGAGCTCTGTGATTACTCAACATATCTGCAAAAATGAAATGTGACTTTCAAAATATATTTAGTAATGAAACACTCTCAAAATCATTTTCTGAAAAAAAAAATAACATTTATTTTTATGACAATAACTAGCTTATGATTATATACAACCTACTATACACTTGCTTATACACTATACTTGTTTTACAACCCAAGAGGTTGATGAAAGAAGAATAAATTTCATGGATATTATTTTATTTGAAACTAATTGAAATTTGCAAAGAAAATGTATGTATTTATAAATTTTCCTCAGTCAAAGCTACTATTTTTCGTCAATTATAAATGTTAACAATTATACTTAATGATTTATATATTAGATTATTATTATTTTATATATTATATTATATTTTTTATTCTTTTTACATATTATACGTTATATTAATCATATTTTATTCAATTATAAATAATAAAATCCAAACGAAAAAGCATCACCAAAAATAATAGTTATATTATAATTGAGGATTTTTTATTTTTTATTAAAAAGATATTTCTTATATCTGCAAAACACTAGTATGATTCAAAATGACAAATTTGTCCTTATACACTGCAAATTCTCGTAAATTGCGAGAATTTTGTTAATTTCTTTCCTCTTCTAATTAGTAATACTTCTTCTAATTCCTAATTACTTCCTTTAACAATTAGTAGTTATGTAAAGGTGAACGATATTAAACTTTTTCTCGAAAAAAAACAAGTAATGAAATTTATTAAGAGAGTCGATTAATATTATTTAATTTTAGAGAAGTTTGAAAACTAACTCCTTGTCGCTCTTTAATGAAATTTATTTTTTAAAATTTTTATTTTCTATAACATTTTTAAAAATCACTACTCTCACAATGCCATGGCGAATTTTTTATTTTTTTATGAAGTGCACTATTTTAAAATTGTTTGAAACGTGGAATGGCATATATAATATCATTAACAGCTCTGTCGTCAAAAATATGTTTTCTTAGAATGTTATCGAATGGTTATAATAAATAATGTTGGTCGTTGCTGCGTGCTGTTTTAATATACAAATAGTTTTCGTAAATATGTTTCGAAATGTTCTGAAAAGCCGCCAGAGAATTGTTTTCTAATAGCTTCGTACTCCGAAAGTAGAGGTCAAAGTAATATAACTCTTGATAAGTCACAGAGCTGTCGTCAAGTTGGGGTCAAATTTAGTCACATGATGTGGCTCAGCGTCTCTTCCATATCAGATTTCCCTTTCACAATTGTAAGAGAATTGAGTGGAGAAGTTGCTAAGGTTATTTTGTAAAGCATAAGGATAATAGTACATATAAAAATCAAGTAAGTTAACAATATTTTATTTATATTAAATTTATGAAGAGTCCTGTCTAATTATTTAATATTTACACAAATGCATCTACTTTTATGGTAGTTGAAGAAAACATTTCCTTAGTTGTAACTACGCAATGGCAGCTGTTGATTAGCTTTCTACATTAAGACTTATTTTTTTATTTAAAAAAAAAAAAGCTTTGCTCATTGTGATAAATAAACTATTCAAATTTGTTAGGTGTGCTGCCTATACGGATAAGAAGAGACTGGTAGTTAAAACATTTCATTGTAATTAATTTTTGATAGGAATGCAATTTTTCAAATAATTACTACTTAATTAGAGCCGCCAACTTTCTACGCTTTTTGTAACAATTTATCCTAGTGGTAGCTATGTTTATGTGTAAATGTATCTATTATTTTTTATTCATCTACACTCATTTTCCATACCACTATATATAAATGATTTAAATGCTCATATGCAACGCCACTCTCACGCAGCCACGTATGCCAAGTGCTCCGGACACGCCAAAATAATTTTTAAAAAAAAACGGTGAATAACTACAAAGTGAATTTTGCAAATATTTGTCTATTTTTGCTTGCTTCTTAAAAGGTATAGCATGATATAATACTGGTGAATTATATAAGCCTGCGAATTATTTAGAAATAGTGGTGAATAAAAATCACAATTGATAAACTACCACTTTAAAATATACATCTCTGCCCAGCTAATTCCTGGAGAGGCTTTTACATAAATTTCGCCATAGGTAGTAAAATGGAATTTGAACTACGATTTGGGGCAGAAACATATGCTGTATTTTGAAACAGCTTATACGACTAACACAGCAGCATACCTGCCAACTTTTAATCCCTTCGAGGATGATTTTGCCCAGTGGTAGTAAAATGTTATTTAAATAACAATTTTAGACAGAAATATAAACTGTATTTTGGAAAAGCTTATGCAAACTTCCAAGACAGTATTACATATTCATATATATGCTTAATTATATTAAAAATAGTGGTGGTCAAAAAGATTAAAAATTAAGTTTATAAATGTAATGAAAGCATGCAGTTTACTACCACTTTAAAGATAGAAATAAAATTTTACGCCAAATGTGTAAAAGTTGGCAGGTATGCACAGCAGTATTACTTATCCATATATATTCTCTATTTTTTTTAAAAATAGTGGTGATTAGAAAGATTATAAATTAAGTTTATAAATGCAAGGAATGCATAGAAAGCATACACTTTACTACCACTTTAAATATAGAAAAAGATTTTACGATAAATGCGAAAAAGTTGGCTGATATGCTTTTAAATTGTTGACAAAATAACCGAAAAATATTAAAGCTTTCATTTTTCAAAGTGTACCAATCTTTAAAATATATTGCAAAAAGAATAACAGTTGGCAGGCCTGCTTAATAACGGCAGATTTTACAAAGTGGTAGTAAAACAACAATTTAGTATGAGAGAACTATTCTAAAATAAAAATTATTAGGACATCTAAAAGTTAACATGTTGAACGCCACGCTAATTTTACATGGCTTGCCCGTCTTGCCAAACTGTAATTAACTGCAAACTAAATTAGCAAATATTAGACCGATTTTGCTATTTTTTTAGATGGTTTTTCATGACATATCTGACAAAAGTGGTGAATTATATCAGACTACGAATTGTTTAAAAATACTGGTGGATAAAAATCTACTAAATTGAATTTATTAAACCAAGAATCACAATAATTAAGTAAATTTTGAATAAATTTTCTGCAATTCCATAAAAGAGTGTAAATTTTATAATTCTATATCATGTTATACGCTGTCAGCCAGCCGTTTTTCGCGGCCTATGTGAAAGATCAGTGTCGGCTAGCGGTGGTAGACGCAGCCTAAATGTAATTTCAGTGTCAGTCACCGGTGGTAGACGCGGCCTAAATGGCAAGTCCAGTGTCAGCCATAGATCTCATCCACATATATTTTTTTTAAATTATTGATTCATCATGATAGTTTATAATTTTTTTTGGAACTTCAAACTCCAATATTTAATTATTAATTTTTTCACCTTACTTAGGTAATATTAAAAATAAATTTTAATGCATGAATATCCCGGTTCAATCAACTAACAAGTTTAAATGAAAATAACTCCTAATGGGTATTATCTAAGTAGTAACTTCCAAGGTGCAGCATATCGTAGTCCAATGTACAAAACCGTGTTGCACCTTAGACCATATTCAGGATAAATCTCCTTCATAAAAATTATAAGATAGATAGTATATATCATGGAGTATCGAATATAAGCAGTTATATAATGTATTTCCCTCCCACAAAATTTCTTAGTTATTTAAATTGATATTTTCGGCATGAAAAAAATTAGCAAACTCTTCCTTACCTGAAAGAAAATGTCTGCTACACTTGGTAGATTTGGATATTACATCCTATTACGAATATCCAAAACTGTAATTTATAAAAGTCTAATATAATTTTCTCTAAAAATGATAATTGTAAAGCGGTTATTAAATTTCAGCACAAATTTAAATAAATTCACCTTAAAATGTAGCGTCCTAATAAGGTGATATTATAGAATTACGTTATAATAAAGACTTACCATATGCAGGGCTTCCAACTTCTTACGCTTTTTGTAAAATTTTATTCTAGTGGTAGCTAAGTTTATTTTTTTAATTTATTATCTTTTATTAATTTAAACTTATTTTCCACACTACTACATACAAAGTATTTAAAAGCTGGTAATGCAACGCCACTTTGTTTTAGCTCTTTCCATGGTTCCCGCGGATATTGTAAATTTTAAAAAGTGGTAACAAAAATTAAACAAATGTCGATAATATTATTTACGTGTAACTACCACTAAAAATTGTTTTCCAAAGAAAGTATAGACTCAGAAAAATTCCAGATTCTAAGCTACTTAAAAACGACGTGGTTTATTAGAGAGTAAACCTAAATTTACTACCACTACTAAAATTTTTCAAGGACCGCGGGAACCCTGTCCCTGGTGAGGCTTTTTAACTGTTGGCAAGATAACCAAATATTCCAAAAGAATTGGGTTTTAAATGTCTACCCATCATCTATAAGATATTTTGCGAAACGCGCAGAAGTTGGTAGACATGTTAAAGTTTTATATTTTGTTTCGTAAATTTGTTTAAAAGTTGTTTCTTTACCACTACATATAAATGATTCAAAAGTTAATATAAACGTCACCTTTTTCTGATATATATGTGATGAGGGTTGTAAATTGTAAGCACCACATTACCAGTCTTTTGAGAAGATTTAACTTTTAATTCTCTACCTAAACATTTTGCAAGAAGTGTAGTAGTTGACAGATATGCTAATAAATAATTAAGACTTTACACTTAGGTTACTACCTAGACATTTTGTCAGGTTATATAGAATGCAGAGATGCCAACTTGCTCCTATATATTTTAAAGTGGTAGTTTATCAATTGTGATTCTTGGTTTAATAAATTCAATTTAGTAGATTTTTATCCACCACTATTTCTAAATAATTTTTAGGTTTATTTAATTCACCAATTTATGGCACTTATATATTTATAGCACTTATGTCATGTTATACCTTTTAAAACGCAAGCAAAAATAGGCAAATATTTGCAAAATTTACTTTGTAGTAGTTATTTACCGTTTTTTTTAATAATTATTTTGGCGTGTCTGGAGTAGTTGGCATCTCTGAGAATGTCTAGAAAACAGGTCTCCGGAGGATGACTGTTTTCTAGACATTAAAAAAAAAAAACTGATGCTAATTTGCAGTTTAGACATAACGTTTCGATTACTAACTTTGCATTCTTTCTGCACTGGCAATTTTATGTGCATTTATATAATTTACATATAGTGGTGTGTAAAATAACTCTAAATCAAATTTTCAAAATAAAGTGTTATACATTAAAGCATAAATTTGGCCCCCAATAGAAAATTTTTTCTCAAAAAGCATAGGAAGTTGGCAACCCTGCATTAAGGAGGAATGTAGATTCTTTTACGAATAAAACAAAAAAGAGAGAGCTTAATAGGTTGAACATGTAATTTCAGTGTTCCCGGTTCACAATATTTTGTCTTTCATGCACACTGTTTAGTTAACACGTTGAATGCCCCATGCCAATTTTGTCTGGACAAACAGTAAATAACTACAAACTAAATTTGCAAATATTGAACAGATTTTCCTAGTTTTTAATAGGTTTAGCATGACATTTATGATAATGTGGTGAATTGTATAAGTCTACGAATTGTTTAAAAATAGTGATGGATAAAAATCTACTAAATTGAATTTATTAAACCAAGAATCACAATTAATAAACTATCACTTGATAATATTTATTAGCTGTCCGAAGCAAGTTGGCATCGCTGTGTAAATAAATAAAACTATTTTTGTGTGTTCTATATTGCATTAATTTCTTTATCTAAACCATTTTAATAACGATAATAATATAAAAAAAATAAAAATTTGATCGAGTTATGAGTTTCTGATAATCTTGGCTTCGTCGGTCACCGGTGACCCCCGTGGCGCAACGAACAAGCTCGTTCTGCATGAAACTGCTTATTTCTAATAGGGAAAAAGAAAATAATTAATTTTCTTCAATAGCTATCTAAAACTATTTATTGTTCTAAAACTTATTAAAATGTTTTTATACAATCTTAGACATACATTAGCCCTCCAACGCCTCATATCATAACTATGAAAACAAATAATTTCATCAACCTTTCTGAAAATAACTTTTCCTCATGCTGATACAGGTCTAAACAACTCCAAAATCAGACAAACACAAGTTGGAGCAAGCTGCTCATTTTATTTTCTGATTCCGTTTTAGTTATTCGAGCAAAGTGCTTGAAACATTCATAAAAGCAACTCCACTGCCTGCTTACCTCAATGCTCAACCAAAACAGTGCTAGAATTCCATATGAATGGGATAGGGGTCGCTTTGCGGCACAGGCGCCCAATAAAATCAAAACACTAGGACTAGACATACATTAACACATTGCAAGCGAGCAATTTTTGCTTGCT